CTGATGGAAATGCTTTGCTCTTTTTGTCACTTTTCAATGCTTACAAATATGTTTTTGCAAACGAACTGATCTAATTGATTGATCTCATTCGATCTTCCAAATGAACAATCAACAGTGTTTCATATTATCTGATATGCTTTTATAATTTAATGAGTGAAATTTAACAGCGTAACGTAAACGATAATTGAAGATGAAACGCCAAATTTTTCATTGTTTAGAAAATTGAAAAATTTTAAATTCCTTGAAAGTTGCATTCTTACATTTTTCAATATAGTTTTAAATATGAACTGAATAAATTAGTGCTTCATTTTACTAGATTGAAATTTGGCTTGAAATAAGAAACTTTTATTAATATTACAATATTTCAGCACTGGCCAATAATCATTGACAATCTTGATCATTTTTGTTTTCACGGATGTTTTAAGAATTGTTAACCAAAAACTTAAAAATTTAGAAGTTTACCTGACACACATTCAACAATTATCCTTTCTTCTTCACATCCGTCTTATTCTAGAAATTAACAATATATGAAAAACTAGAAGCAAACAAAACAGAAGACAGAAATTTGAATTTAGATTGAGGATAAAGATCAACAGAACATAGTAAAAACATTTTCATCCATAGCCTATTTTTGCCTATTTTTTCCAATTTTGGTACATCAATTGTTAATTTTTACAATGGTATCATTATTAAATTGATTTCCGTCTATGTATTATGCTGAAAAATTGCGGGAAGGTCGACAATTATTGACCTCATTTAAAATCAACTTCATCATCTTTTTCATTATTTACTTGTGAAATGACGTCAGTTATTTCTCCCAATACTTTCTTAGAAATTCAATTAATATTAGCTTGTGAAACTTAACAAGTTACATTTTCAAATTACAAAAGAAAAAACGTTCAAAAGTCTCGAGGTAACTGCAAATGTTGCTATATTTTAACAAATTTTTTACTATATTCCAAAATTAAAATATTTTTTGGAAATTATATATCTATATTTTATCATATAATTCATTTTTCAGTTTATTTAATTAAGAAATTACGAAAATTTAATGAAACGAATTTTTCTACGAATTCTAAATCATTTTCCTTTTTTCTGAAAATTTTTTCTCAAAACATTTCAAAAATCTTTTCTCTATTCAAAAAAGAAAATGAAATAAAATGTTTGCATTGGTATTGCCATTCAACAACTATTATCCTATATTTTCTAATTGTTTCCCACTGTTGTTAGATAAATTTAATTAAAAATTCTAAACAAGTAGTAATCCATAAATTCAAATTATTAAAAAACATTTCTTGCTAATTTGTTTATTACGAACATCAATAGGGAAAACAGAATTTTAATTTAATTTAATTTTCAAACATCTTCCAATTATTTTAAAGCAACAACGTTAAAATTCTTATAATTCTGGCAATCCTATATCACATAATTAACACTCTCATAAGTTTATAGTTTCAGTGTTAGCATGACCTATAAGTAGTACCGTATCAATTGATAAAGTTCTCATGAATCCTTCATATTAATTAGACCAAAATGACTAGTGAATTTCATATATTATTATTGTGTCCGAGAAAAACAAATATCAATAAAACAAACTGCAAATTTTTGCATGATTTTTACTGCTAAAATAAAATCTTTTGCAATTCTGTTTTTCTTTCGTTTCTACTTTTCCTTATTCAACTCATATCTCCTTTTTTCACTGCTTTTTAAAAAAATAATCGCTCAAAGTGGAGCAATTTAATTTTACATGTATAGGTAGGCATAGGTGTAATGCCATAACAATATGTATTACTGTCAGTCATCTATCTTTCCTCTTTTTTCAAACAACAACTAAGAATTTCTCCAAACTCACCGGATAAAAAGTTGAAAATGTCATTATCTCATTTCTTTTCTATTTTTTTTTCTTTCTCTTTCCTTCTCTTTTCCTCTTTCTTTATCTCTTCCTTCACCAATCTATAAAAGAAAATAATAAATTGAGCAAAAAAAAAAATGTATATCAGAAATGTTAACTATGATAGCTAATGATATAGTATCATTCTACTATATCTCTTCTTTGTACCATCATAATCTCATTTCATAGTCACTCGTTAAATTTCTTTCACAACATTGATTTGAGGCATTCTTTGTTTCCAAAACAGTAAATTGTAGGTCTTCTAATCGTTATATTAAATAAAGAAGAAAATTTAGATAATTTCTAATTGTATGTAATAATTATACTTTCTTTCTTTTTCTCACATTGTTAGTTCGCAACTAACCTATCGTACTTTAATATGTTACGAATATGAATGAATGAATGAATGAATGAATGAATGAATGTAAAACGATCATTTACTTCAATTTTTTGTTACATATATTTTTAGTCTTTTGTTTTATTTATTGTTTTTTTCTGCTCATTTGTGCAGATAATTGTTTTTTCGTGCATTGATAATTTACAATCTGATTTGAGCAACTTTCTCTTTTATCTCCATGAAAATAATTAATTATGATGAGTGCGATTTTATTAGTAATACTGGTCACAATGCATTGTATGGTATTATTACAATGTAATCTTTGTGTTCAAATTTTTATAATTTTAATAAATTCAAATGACTCAGTGATGCATTTAATCCAAACACATACATAAAATGAGTAAATATTTATAAACACATCTAAATTTTATTAGTAATACTGATCACAATGATCGCATTATACAGAATAATCTTTTGTGAATCTGAAATTATTGATTGTATTCTGTGCCTATGATATTATCAATAATGGTATTTTAGTTCAAATGCAAATGATAGTCAGTAATTTCAGGTCAACAGTGAAAATATTATTGTATGGTGTTGATAAAAATTATAAGTCGATTTACATCTAACATTTTATCATATTTTACGAATTAAAATTTTTTTCCTCATTTGATGACAACAAGATCATAAAAAGTTACGAGAAAAGTTAGGGTAATTGTTTTGCTATATCAGATACTGATACAAAATATGGTTTCAGTCATGAAAATTTGGAAATAATAATAGTAATATTAATCTTAATGCTACCATTTGCCACTTGAATAATGATAATTCATCTTTCGGTGATCATTTCATCAATGAAAGTTCATTTTCATCATTTCATGAAATTTCAGGCAAAATTAAATATTCCATCCAAATAATTCACAAGTTTGGCCTAAATAAATCCCTTTCCATCTTCAACACACTGCATTTGATCTTTTCTTTCTAATACTCATTAAGCTATTTTGCAGTTGATGTTTTTGATTTCGTAATACATTAAATTTCCAATCCTTCTTTTAATAAATATTTAACTTATTATTTCTTTCAATTCATATTCAATGGTACGTTTTATCGATGAATAAATGCTTGCTAATTTTGTGAATATGTCAAATTCTTTGCGTTATTTCATTTAAATCCAGCAATTGATTATGTTATTTTTAAAAATTTCGATTGTAAGAATTTTTTCATTTTTCTGGATTCTGGACCAAGGTTGAGCAATGAAATTTTTTGAATCATAAAAGACAAGATTTTCAAAAATTTTAAATATTTTCAAAAAAAATTTTTCATCACATCAGTCCTTGAACTAAAGTTAGCATTTCTTTTTTTTTTTCATTTAACTTATGTATTCCTTTGCGCAAAACTAAACCGGAAATGTAGTCAATTTAGTTTTTCCGAAATATTAAAAATCCATCCAAAAACTGAAAAATCTTGTAACAACTGAAAGAAATGGTTGGCATAACCAGTGAAAAATTCATTCTTGCATACAGTTGTTTCGCAAATTTAAACAAACAATAATGTATATATATGCAAAAGAACTAATAATTAATCTCTTTTGTTACTTATTGATATTTTTTGAAATAATAATCTAATGTCAAATAGCTAAATTCCTATTTTCTCATGCTTAATAGCTAAGACTCCATCTTCTTCCACATAATAGCTAAGATTCCAATTCTCGTGTCTGATGGCTAACACTCCGTCTCATGTTTGATGGTCAAGACTCCAACTTCTCACGCCTGATAGCCAAAACTTGACCTTCCTATGTGTAATGACCAAAATTTCATTTTCTTCTTGTTTGGATTAGAAATGATATAGGTAACTTATCCAATGAATAAGCCTAGGATAAATAAGTGGTCATTCAAAATTATCAGGATAATTTAAATAAGATGGAATTTTTTGTTTACTATTTTGTGGAAGATGAAATTTCAATGACGAGTGGAGTGTAACTTCAAATGAACAAATCTATATAGACGATAAAATTTGCAAATCTATTCAGTCATATATTATTGATCAGTTTTGTTAATCATTACGGCTTGCCAAACATATATTACAAGATTTTATGAAGTATTGTCTGAAGTTATTATTCTCTTTGTGAATTCATTAAATTGAAATTGTTTTTGTAACGCCACAATATAAATTATTTCAAGAAATACTTGACTTTTGATTAAATTTAATTGCTAAAAACTTTCCTCCTAGGTTGCTTTTACAGAAGTGATAAATAATTTAAATATTTTTCTTTCTTAGTTAAACAAAACAATTCCTTAAGCAAGCATCATTTCTCCCTACTCGACCATTTCCTGTCACATTTGTTTATTGTAAATAGTAATTTTTTACGATTTTGATGAAAATAGAACAGAAGTAGATAGTAGCATTTATGTCACAGTTCAGCAAATTAATTATGCAATCATAAAATCAAAAATTTGTTTGTATTTTTTTTAAGAAAAGTTAAAATATGAATATCACCGAGAGAGGGAGAAAGAAGAAATAATAAAACTTCATGTATTCAGCTGTCATTCTGCTTTTTCTTATTGTATTAGTAAAATTTATTTTTTTTTTTTTGAAATTGGATCAAATGAATATGTTAAATGACGTATAATGTAAACATATCTAATTTCTTTTTTCTAAGAAATTTAAACTCATTAATAGCTTTTTATTAGTAGGTGCGATAATCTCGAAATATTTCTTCCCATTAATTCGTCTATTTATTTATTGAAAGAAAGTTGGCAGTTATAACGTGGTATGCTGGATTCTACGAAAGGTATACGTGTGATTATGTCAAGTTGCACACCTTTCTTTATCATTTTCATTTTACTATCATTTTCCGAGAAATTTATTAAATCAGGTAAAAATTTGATGAATAATTATTAAAATATATATAGCCCAATTTATAAATTTCTTTTTATTTCCAATTTGCTCACATTATCTTATCATCGTTTTACTCGCCCATTGATAATCGCCTCAAAGCTCAGTTGCTTTCTTATCCTTTTTAGAGAGTATTTTTTTTCCATTTCCGAACTTTTCAATTTTCTCGTATTAATTCAATCAGACAGCTTTTATGTGATCATTTTAAAATTCGAAACCTTTTAACCTGGATCAGTTTTATTGAAAAAGTTTTCAAAAGTTATATAAATTTTAAAAGATTGTTTTTAAAAAATTTTTGATTTTTGGTAATCTTTGAAAATCCGGAAATAACTGATGAAATCTAAAATTTATAGAACCATTTGTACCACAACCGGCAATCGTATTTTCTGGACACAATGATCAACAAAATCATATATCGGCTTTTGATATGAATGAAACATCACATTTGGCATCAAATAATTCTACATTTCCTCTATCATTTCAAAAATCGCCATCACCATCGTAAGTAATACAATTGAAATTTAACTTTTGGATAATAATTATTAAAGTATTCAAAAAACAAACTTCTTTAGTATCCACTTTTCCCGCATCTAATAAAAAAATGAAAAAGAAGATTTCCGTTATGTAATCATTCAAATTAGTTGTAATTTTTACAAATGTATTATTGATTGATTTATTTCGCATTATTAAAATTCACATTCACCAATTTGATTGATTGATCAGAACGATCACTTTTCATTTCTTTAATTAATTTGGATGAAATAAAATGAACTAATTGTTGTCCATTTTCATAAAAATTTCTTTTACCATCTTCAGTTGTTCCACTCTTTTCAAATATTCAAACCTTAAATTACCATTTAAAATCAAGCAATTAATGAAATCTTGGGTATTGTTAAAACTAGTTTAGAATTGGTACTCGTTCGAATATTTATTGTATGTGCCAATGTACACCAATGAATTTCTCACAATAAAATTATACTGTAATAAGTGGAAGATCATTTATTTTTCCGATGAGGAAAAAATGGAAAATCATTCGAAATTAATAACTTCTGAGAAATAATTTTAAATAGTCATAATAAAAATTCAACAGGTACTCTTACGATCCTGTCCCTTAGCTATTTTGAAGAATAGAAATGAAAGAACAGATTACATTTATTTTCAATGTTTTGAATTTTACAGCAATTTTCTTTAATTTCCACAATATTACTTTGAGAGGAAAAATTAACTTAACTAATTTGCATTGAATTTATTGCAAAAATGATAAAGTATTTTATTTATTGCTAATTGGCATTCATTCGACTTTCATAAATATAGCATTAAATGATTTAAGCAAATCATTTAATGTTACATTTATGAGAGTTGAATGAATGTTAAAATAGCAATAAATAAAATATATTCCAAAAAATATTTTGGCAAATAATTTAGAAACAAAAATGGCTATCACAGAAATTTATTAAAATTTTACCAATAAAATCAGGTTTTCATCGATTAAAATATATTGACTATAATTGATTAAAATATGCCACTTTATCCAAAAAAGCGGCAAAATTTTCTAGTGCACAATAACTTAACCTAAAAGAAAAATAAAAACGAAATAATAGTAAAAAAATAATAGTAAAAAAAGAAAAATAATAGTAAAACGTTAAAAAAAACTGTTACTTTTTAATATTTTAATTTACGTATGACAGCAAACGATTTAACTGAATATCCCAAAAATATTTTGGGATATTCAGTTTAAAAGTTCAAATTATTTTCATTTATATAATGTATATTAATGGAGAAATAATGTTTTTTGAAAAACTATCAATAATTTCTAAATTTTTCTTAAAATTGGAATATTTTGATTGTGAATTAACTTTCAGAATTTTACAGATATCGAAGTCCAGAAGAATTAACAAATAATTTCTATAACGTACCAAAAATTGCCAACATGAACGAAGTATTAATTTATTTATGCAAATTTTTTTACTCAATATTTTAAAAGTATAAATTGTAGATTTTTAAAAACATCAGCATATTTTTTTTTGCTTCATACCTTTTCATTCTTAATTTTTTCTTTAGAAATTAGAAATAAAATTAACATACTCTTTTTTGCATTCATTTTAGCAATCATTTTAACTTCCCTTTTGTATTTTCAGCTGTTATCAGATGAATCAATATTTCGTTTTTTTCGAGATGATAATTTCGGGGAAAATTATCGAAGAATTAATGAAACTTATTTCTCTCAGGGAATTGATGTAGAAGAAAGAACCCCTCAGAAGCCTTTTATTCAGGTGCGTTAATTTTCTCAGTTATTTTCTTTAGCTCTTATACAAAAACTTTTGCATCTTTTTTTACTCAAATTTTAAAATTTTTTGAATTTTTACTTGCAAGTGTTTGAAATTTATGCAAATTAAGCAAAATTTTTTAAGCAATACCTTGATCAAATCAATGCTGATAGATTAAAAATAGACCTGAATTTTCCAGAGTGAATTCTTGGAGGGTTATTAATTTGTTTATAGAATCATTTGCAATGAAAGTAACGATTATTTATGCTCTCAGGTGATAAAAACGAATATTTATACCAAAAAGTTCTTCGAAAATTTTAAGAAAAATTTTTTGGTGCAATTTTTTACATCAATTAATTTCATATCCAATTTTATTGCACATTAATTACGTATTTATTATGCATTAATTATACACTAATCAATTTTATACTTTAATATTAAATTATTTTCAAATTTCAATTACAATTGATTTGGCAATCTCATTATACTATCGATCAATACATAGAGGAAGTTTAATGATTTAAAATACAATTAAATATTCTATTTTGAAATTTCACAATCCTTACGTCTAGAATTGACAAAATAAAATGATTCGGAAATATAACGCTGATCAAAACTAAAATTATATTGACTTATATTGTGAATTTCATTTATTGTTACGTGTAATCGTTTCAAATTTTCCACCAAGATTTTTTAATGATTTAATCTTTGAATATTGAAATAGGAACATTGCTTCATGATGCTTAAATTTATCATTCATTTTTCGGCGCTTTTTCCTCAATTTCTTTTCTGTCTTTCCTTTTTTCTCGTTTTATTTAAAGAAATTACCACCAAACTTATTTAACTAAACCTTCCAAATTAAGAGAAAATATAATAAAAATTGCACTAGAAGTAATACATCCCGCATAGCTGAAAACTTTCCAATTTGGCGCATTTGTCACTGCCATTAATACTTTCCTCATATTCTATAAATTTTCTATTCTCTTTAATAAATGCAAATTTTCTGGATGTTTTCAGTGGTACTACTCTTTAGTCTGTAGTTGTGATAAAAACATATAGGCACTGTTAAAAGTTACATCAGATTTGTAAATACAAACAAAATCTTGTTTACTCTAACACTTTACAGTCAATTATTTATACTATTTTTATTTTGTGCTAATACAGTTTAAGAATTCTTTAACCACTGAATTGCCTCGTACAACAACCGCTGTCAATAAAATATCTGTACAATCGGCATCACCATCTTTAAAAACATTTGTGGAGCAGACAAGAAAAGTTTTAAATGGTATGTCTACTATTTACTTCTAAATTTAAATGTTAATAAAAATTTTGTTTATTCAATTTTATTATAGAAGAAAAAAGACTTTTACTGAATATTTTCCACATGAAACAAATGCAACGAAAATTTTCGACGATTAAATGCAAAAAAATAGAAAGTAGTTCAGGACTTCGTTTTCTTGTGCTTTACCAGTTACTTATAATTTTGATAAGCTTATCATATTATGATGATAATATGATTAGGTTTATCAAAATTGGAGCGCTTTTGCCCCTATCGTTTCATTATGACAATGAAATCTGACGGAAAATTTTATCAGGAATTTGGAATTCAATTTTTCTTTACCTTATACAACTTTATCAGTACAAAAAAGCATTCATGAAACATAATAAATTAAATAATTAAGAACATTCTAATTGCAAAACATATTGGACACACATGCATTATTAAATAAAAAAATTGATTCAGCTCAATTTGCAAAAAAAAAAATTAAGAAAAATGTAAAATATTTCACCAATAGGCAGCATCGAGAATTTTTTATGTGATTGAGAAACAACCATTAATTTTCCATATTTCAATAATTGGAAATTTTAGAAAAAAGTATTTCAAGAAATGGATAAAAATTGTTTATTCAAAAGTTTTCAATTTCCAATTCCATCAATATAAAAAAACAAAATGAAGAAGTAAGAGAAAAAATTAAAAGATGTGAAATTAAGATTTGACTTGCAGATTTTGAAATAACATCCACTCCCTCTGTTTAATGCGTGTACCAGTAATATAAGGAAGCATCGAATCCTGTTAAATGACAATAATGAAAATGAAAAGTTTTAATTATCAAATGCAGATTCCATATCTCAAAAAAAGGACTCGAAATTAGCGACTGCATCACCGCTAGCATTAAAGCAATGGGAAATGCAAAGGACCGATTCCGGTCAATCGATCATCAAAGTTACGACAGTTTCCGCACCCATTCAGATTACCGGAAGAGATGAATTATATCACGTCAGTGCTACTGAAAATGGAAATACAATTGACGATGATAATAGTGGCAGCAATGATTTAAGCTCAAATAACAATCAAAGAAGAGAATTCACTAATTTGAAGTAATTTAAATTTGATTCAAATATCAGTTTGCATGTTTTGATTCTTTTGTCAAATGCTAGCTTGTTTGATGCTATTAATATTATTCACAGTGATAATATTTCAGGGAAAATCTGTCATTTCCTTCGGCAACAAATCAACCAGCAATTTCTGTCAACAATATTTTAACAAACAATATACCAATTTCAGAGGATAATTTGCTATCCACAACTGCTACTATTGAGACCACTTTTACTACTTGTCCAAAGTTATTTTCCACAATTTTAACTCCATACCAAAACCAAAAAACTCAATCTACCACAGCAAAAATCAATTTGACTAAGGACATTACTAATTTTGGAGCAATAAAAACAACATCAGCCAGGTCTTTAACAATAATGGAGACTACTGATGCCCAAAATTTGACATTGAGCAGAACATCATTATTTCCAGAGGCTGACCATTCATCATTTTCGGTGTTAAATCTAAAAGCATCCGGATTACCGCCATCATTGCCCCCATCATTATTATTTTCACTATCATCAACTGTCGATGATAATGATGATCTGACAAAATCTCCAGCGAAAAATACACTTCCATCGAATGATAATGAAGGGAAAATTGAATCAAAATTAGAAAACGGTGGGAAATCAGAAATAATAAACAATACTAATCTCAATCGAAACGAGATAAATTTAGATTCCGTAGTGCCAGAAAATGTTGAGTTTGGAAGATTGAACCGAAAGAAGATTGAAAATGACCTGACTTATAGTTCAAATAAACAATGGCAAATGGAAAAAGACCAAATATTTGGTGAAAGAATTCCACCAACAACGCCGTTACTGGACAGTAATCTAAGTTAGTTATTAAAATTCTGCTTGCTAAAAAAAAGACAAAAAAAATTTTGAAATTCTTTTTTTTTTGAAAAAATCCTGAAAAAAAGTTTTTTCTAGATGAAACATTAAAAAAAATTAAATATTATTTAGAAATTGCGATTGAGTTTTCCCTCAGGATTGAAACAAAATTTAGTGAATAGAATAATTTCAATTTTTTTTTCAAACTAGATAATTGAATGAAAAGAGTCTTAATTTTGCTCAAGGCTTAACTTTTAAGCATAAAATGTAATGTTTGAAAAGATAAAGTACTTAAAAACTTTGATCATTGTGCATTTTTGAGAAAGTAAAAATTCATTCAAAAGAAGGTTCGTCAACAGTTCCAACTATTTCCTGACGAATTTCATTTTATTTTGAAAAACTCGTTTCATTATACATTGTTTAATATAATATAATATTTCTATTTTTATTTTATTAATAAATATTAAAATAATATTTCTATTTTTCATTTTCTTAATTTTATTTTTTTAATATAATATCAACCTCAGGTTCCGTCGAGCTATCATCCATTTTGGGTAATCAAATTGATGGAGCATTTAGCAATTTAATCCATCTCGAAAAGCAACAAATGGGTATATCAATGCCGAAATATAAAAATTCATTAACTGGAATAATCTTTTCTCAAATACCAAAGCAGAACGGTGTCAACACTGTTGTGGTATTCAAAAATTTTATATTTATTTAAAATTAAAAAAAAGTATTTCAAAAAAATATATATATATTGGAAAATGTGTGGAACAAGTTTAAAAGGCCGCTAACAGATAGTAATTAAGTGAATTTAAACTTCAATGTAAAAACTAGTAAAAAAGAGAGACCTATCCTGCTTATCGATTATTTGATTGATTTACTTGCTTATTTCAATTTTAAAGCATTGATTAACAAAATTAAAGTACAAATTAAAATTTAGATTGATACTGGTAGCACCACTAACACAGGCGTTTCGATCAAACGGGAAATTACAAAAGGAAAAATATTAGAGGAGCAAAAATCGTTTATTAATGGTAAACCTGTCACCCTACAATTATGGAATCCTATAATATATGGTAAAAATTTACTTACAAATAAATTTCAAAATTATCAAAATTACTAAAATTGTAATATTACTCATTGGTCAAATAATGTATTATATATGAAATGATACTGATTTGATTAGTTATTTTTCAGCATCTAAAAAAAGCCAAATTATTTCGCTAAAGCAATTAGATTCTTATTGCTCACAGAACAAACTATTTACCTGAATTAACTCAAGTGACGACAAAAATTGAGTTACAATTTTTTTTTTTTGCAATGAGTTTATATTATTGTAACTTCATGTATTTTTCTATAACAAAAGCAATAAGATTAATAGTGATATTAGCAGTATTGGTGCCAAATTACATGAATGGCAACAATAATGATACGAATTAATCATAAAACCTCAACTGCATCATCAAATCACCACCATTTCAGATCAACCAAAACTTTTTTTCTACACAATTAAATTTTTAAATAAGTTAATTAAAGCACTTTTTAAAAGCCTTCGTTGTTCTGGCGATCGTTAATGTACCCCTTGTGCAATCACACATTACATCATTAAAATTTATTATTATATGATATTTTTTCACAATAAAAGCTAAAATCATTGTTTCTTAAAGAGGTGAAATTTAAGAAAACGAAGCAGAAATTACTTTTTTATTATTTTTTAAAATGTTTTCATTCTGCCAAAATCTTACAAATGATCAGACGGGAAATATTTGCAATTAAATGAACAGTTTCAAATGATTTCAGAAAAGAAGAAAAAATCGTTCAGTTTATGTTTGTTTAAAAATATGAAAGAAATTCTTCAGTATTGAATTAGCATAATCAATATATTCTTCAGCATAATCAATGTTTCGTTACACGAATATCGAAATTATTACTTACTCTTTACTTCTAAATACTTCTTGTCCTTCTATTTCGCTGATCAAAATCACAGAAATGAGTGAATAACAGTTGATAGTGATATTATAAACCATTTGATATTACACACTCAATTTCCGCTAATCCACTATTTTTATGATTTCTTAATTAAGCATATTTAAATATTTTACATGAGTTTTAAAATTGATTTTTGATTTTGCCGCACATCATATCATGGAAATCTTTTTTTTTGCTGATAATGGAAATGAATTAATACAGCTGAATATAATTTGAGATAAAGTTTTTATTGATTGACGAAGAGTCTATTTTTGTATGACAATTATCAATTGTAGGTATTACTAGTGAAAATCAGAATTTCACTAATACGATTCATAACAATGATATTAATGATACTAATTAATCATATTAATACTGAATGATTGATTGAATTGAGACTCCCCGGTTTTTAATTTTTTTGCATATAAAGTTAAATGAACAAATGGTTATTAGCTTAACATCTAACAATCATTTAACAAAACAAAACGTACATTATTAAAACAAAATGAGTCAAGTGAAAAAATATTTTAACTCAATATTTTGACACAATTAATTTAAGTCATTGATGAGCAACTGTGATAGTACAAATTTAATTTAGTTTCAACGGGTTTATTATAAAATTATTTGATTTCCCGATATATCATTCAATATTTTCCTTCGTTTTTAACTCGAATTTCTTCTAAACCACAAGATGATTGTCCAATTAGTGAGGATTTTTGTATAATAGAAATTTTCTCATAGCTTTACAAAACAATTTTATATTCAATGAATTTTATATTCAAAATTTTATATATTCAATTTTTACATTCATCTTAGGTTTTTCTCAATTCAAACAATTCTGCTACTTTCCTTTTTGCTAGCATTTGATCTTTTGATTTTAAATTCTGATCCTGATCGTTATAGTTCAAACATTCAAACAACTTTTTAATTAAACAATCTAAATACATCTTTATCCAACTTGAAGATATCTTATTACTATCCGTTAATATGATATTAATTGGTTGATTTAGTAAAAATCTCGAAGTAATATTTAATCTTCTCATAGGTCACGATTGGTTAGCAAATCCTGGAGCCATAATACATGGCGGTATACAACCACTCCAAGCTGAAATATACAGTGTTAAAAGTGAAACTGAAAGACGGAAAGGTCGTCATAAGCACACTCAAATGTTTGCCGTACGATCCATTTTAAATGATACTCGAATGAATCAAAAGAGCAAACAGAAAAAAAAGCCGAGAAAAGACAAAAACATGGCCATAGAACAGATGTATCGGAAAGAAAAATTGGCCGAAGCTTGTCGCGGTGATAGCAAAGGTTAATGTAAATTAATTCTAAATCTTTGAAATATCATTATAAAACAGGTACAAATATTAACAAAGGTGGTGAACAAGCAAATACTTTGAAGCGTGAAAGATAAACTGATTTTATATTTCTGGGCGATAATACTATAATATTATAAGATGATGCTAAAATATCATAATATAACGTTTTGTCAATTTTTTTGCTAAATAAAAATTCCTGCGAATGATTCTGATATATTTCAGAATTTTATTTAAAAATCTGCATCAAATCTTTTCATGTTAAATTTAGAATGCAAATTTCAGACTTTAATGATAGTAACGATCAAGCAAGCAATGTTTTGGTGATCTATACCAAAAAGGGCAACAGTTCAGTTGAAAATGACTTACAAGTATGACAATTTTCTTTTTTTGTTACTTCCCGAATTTTTCATCCCTCGCTGAGTCATCACTAAATGAGGAAATTTCAGTGCAAATTGCCTACAATTCGATTCAATTAGTTGGCTATTAGAAATAAATGCCTGGTAAATAAGAGAAATAAATAAGGACTCGATAGTTAAAGGGTACAGGAAAGTATCAACATCCACAGCAGTGCTTTTATGTGATCAACAATTGCGCTCTATCTGCCACCGCACCATTTGAACGGCGGATTGGAATTAGTTTAATGGAATGTGCCCAATTCTGTTCGAGGTATATGCGGAAAAGATTCGACAAAACTTCATCCATTTTGCTGAAACATTTCAAACAATTTAGTGTGATCGAAGTTACTTGAAATATTTGTTAAATTCGATAGTAATAATAAAGTTAAATATTATCAGTTGATTAACTTCTTTCTTTGCTCTCTCTCTCTCTTACATATTTTTTGAATTTAAATTAGATTTTGCAATTTCATAATTTCCTATCTATTTCTACAATTATGTATTAATATTGCATTGCTGTGAAGGATTTAATTCAGTTTACTTGGATGTCTTTCGGCATCTTATTCAACACGTTTCGCAATCTGTGATACTTATCATTTTAAATTTGATTTACGAGGAAAAAAAGTGATGAGAACGGCGTGGCATTACTATTTGGAACCACAAACGAGTGATACTTCGGAATGTTCAATGAGTTTTTTTATATTATTATTTGACTTTATATTTTAAACTCAAATGCATAAATGTTTATTATATGCGGTAGTTCGGCTCTTCTTTG